AACGGACAAGTCGTTATCTACTGTACGATTAGATTAGATGAGGCGGCAGCACACGGCACAGCTCGGGCTCCGCTGACACAGCCGCTCTGACTCACTGGCCCCCGGGGCCGCATCAGCATGCTGTGCACGGACCAGCTGCGCACGGACCAACGCGCACAGCCTGCCCTTATCTCCCCATGTATATAAGCCGGCCTCTGCTGCCCTAGGGACCTCAGTTTCGACCTCTTGTCCCTAGGTCAGTAAGCCTTCAGTTGTATCCTTTCTTACATTACTAACCAATACATTTTCTTGTCCCTAGCCTTAGGTTTGAGCATTGCTCACCATCGCTTCGGTGAGAATCAGTCGAACGCCCCCAGCTCTTTTTAGGTTTTCCCCCTGTCGCTAGACCTCAAGTCGCGACATTAGGTCGAAACTCCACAAAGCTGCCGGCGTTCCTCGGAACCCCACAAACTCACTTTCCTTTCCTATAGGTTGGGTGGTGCGCACCCCTACTGTACCCTACAATACGTAGATAGCATATGATACATCGCCACCACTTAAGGGACGAACTCTTCGGTATCTGCACTTCAGTGGGTGATACTTGTCCTCACGGACGCGTGGCTTAGGTTCCTGCTGCATACTAGCCAAAAGCAGTACTGGGCCCCACGTGAACTGCGAACCTTAGTGTTATCTCGGGCGCCGTAGGTGTAAGCTAGTATAGCACGGCCTTTCGTAGTACGCGCACCTCCCCTTCCTCCCCCCATCCAACGTGGCTGCCTGCCAAGGCCAGATCCACGCATTCGACTTTCAGGATCTCATCGACGTCTACATCCCAGACGGCCCTGAGACTATCCTCTACCATTGCGAGCAGCAGCCGTGCCCAAATCGGACACCCCGATCGATCGAGAAAGATTACCCTCGTTACAAGGCAATCCGACGAGCGCAACATCCGCTCGGTCCTCGAAGCACCCTTGCATCTCAATCCGCCTCGCGGCACTCTCGCCCTGTCTCCCCTAGCTCCCGCCTCCCTCAAACTGTCATCACCAATCCAGGTCAAACACGAGGAGATCTCCCTCCAGACCCTGCGCTAGAGCCTGAGCCTGAGGAGGGTGAGGGTGAAGAAGGAGTCTCGGAGTCCGAGTCCACGGATTCTGCTCGGCCCACCTCGCCGACAGCGCTCGCCCCTGCATCAGCAGTCCCTGACATACGTGACCCCCCCGCCAAACTTTTTCCGGCGCCTTCACCGCCGACTCCGCTGAGAGGCCGCTCGAGCACTCGTTCCTCTCGAAGTTCGACCAGCGGAGGGCCACCACAGCCGCCTCCGCCCCCGCAGCGTCCTCCGTCCCCCCCAACGCCGATAATGTCCTCTCCTGCAGCCGCCCCTGATAAGGAGACTTCGAAGCTCCTTCTACCGCTCCGCTATGATGGCAAGACCGTCATCAAATGCGACAGGTTCCTGTCGCAACTACGCATTTATTGGTTGATCAACACGTCGTTGACCACCATCGAACTCAAGGTGCAAGTTGCGCTGAGCCTGCTCGATGGCGACGCCCGCGCCTGGGCCACGCCCTACTTTGCCCAACTCACGTCGGTGCAGATGGGTGTACAAGGGGTCACGACCCCCTTCAGGAACGAAGCGGCCTTCACCGCTGCCTTCAAGGCTCGCTTCGGAAATCTCGACGATGCGGCAGCAGCACAAGTGGAGCTGGCAAAGCTCTGCGCGGACAAATCGGTCTGCGAGAAACGCACCGCTGCAGAGTTTTCCGTGCTGTTCAAGGGTCCGGCGGATTGCTCTGGGTATGGGGACCTGGAGCTACGCGACAAGTACCTGAGCGGCATCCCCTCCCGCGTGTACCGAAAGATCGAGCTCGAGACCTTCATCACGGGCAAGCAGCTGAGAAGCGCGCCACTGAGGTCGAGCAGATTCTCGACATCAGCCAGGCCCGTCGGCCCGAACTAAATAACTTCTTCTCGGCCCAAGGTCGAGGACGCGGTGGGGCACGTGGTGGTGCACCCCAGTCACACGCAGCTTCGGCCAGCATCAATGCGGCCGTCGGAAAAGACAACTTCCCCGGCACATGCTTCGGCTGTGGGAAGCAAGGGTACCGACGATTCGAGTGCCCCAATTGTAAGGACAAGCCTTACACAAAACGCGCTGACGCGCGGGCTACGGTTGCCTCGGGCTCCACCCAGGCTGCGACAAGCACCCCCGTCACGACAACACCCTCGGCAAGTATAAGTGCCGCTTCAGCGAAGTCCGAGCAATCGGAGCTGGCGGACTTAATGGCACAGGTGAAGTCGATGCGCGAGGAGCTCGAGCACTATCGGGCGATGAAGGAGGAGGGTTTTTGATCCGGTCTGCGCTTTGTGCCGCACGTGTCGGGCCGCGAGTATCATCATGTAACAAGTATAATGTATTGTCGACTGCAATGGTGTACGAATTGGACCAAGGGTCCCAACATTTTCACATCCCAGTACGACTTCAAGGAAAAAGACGGCATAAGGACATAATCGCTATGGTGGACAGCGGAGCCACCACGAAGTTTATCAACAAGCGATTCATTATCGAGAATAAGGTGCAAATGCGGAAGTTGAAGGAACCAATCCCGCTATACAATATTGACGGTACCCTGAACAAGGACGGAAGCATCTCGGAGGTAGCAGTGCTACAGATGCATATAGGAGAGCACGTCGAGAAGACAGTGTTCACGGTCACGGACATCGGTCCGGAAGATGTGATCGTCGGGTTGGATTGGCTACGCGAGCACAACCCTGAAATTGATTGGGAGAAGGGCTCCCTCAAATTGTCACGATGCCCTGAAACGTGCAGTGCCAGAAGGACTGGCCGAATGGAGCAAGCTGTGACTGCGCGCGATATGGGGGTCAGGCCCACGGCGCGCAGGCGTTCGCCGAAGTCCAAACGGTCGGTTATAGGTGCCTGCCGGAGCAAGGTGCTCCCGGACTTCGAACCCGAAGAAGATTCGGTGGAAGTAGAATGGGATGAGGCCGACTTGATTGAAGCCTGGGAGCAGGGTATCACGCTTCCCGGCGCCCCTCAGCTGTTCATCGCAGCAGGGCACACGTATTCCCAGCTGTTCGCTGAGGAAGAAATCAAGAAGAAGGTCGTTAAGACCGCCGAGGAGTCGATACCTAAACAGTACCACGAGTTCCTGAATGTCTTCTCCAAGGAAGCATCAGAATGGTTACCCGAAAGGAAGCCATATGATCACGTGATCGAACTCGTACCCGGCTATTCGACATTCCATTCGAAGGTGTACCCCCTGTCGAACAACGAGCAGGAGGAGCTTGACAAGTTCCTCAAGGAGCAGTTAGTGAAGGGCTACATACGGGAGTCGAAATCACCCATCTCGTCCCCTTTCTTCTTCATCAAAAAGAAAGAAGGGACGCTTCGACCCGTACAAGACTACCGCCGGTTAAACGCGATCACCGTCAAAAATCGCTACCCCTTGCCGCTGATCGCCGAGATGGTGGATAAGCTCCACGGTGCCACGCTCTTTACGAAGTTTGATGTCAGGTGGGGCTATAACAATGTCCGGATCAAAGCCGGTGACGAATGGAAGGCCACCTTCGTAACTAACCGGGGGCTGTACGAACCCCTGGTGATGTTCTTCGGCCTCACCAACTCCCCTGCGACCTTCCAGGCCATGATGAACGAGATCTTCCATGATCTCATCGTTGGCGGAAAGATCCTTGTGTACCTGGACGATATACTCATCTTCTCCACCAATAAGGAGGAGCATGAAAAGGTCACGCGCGAGGTTCTGCGCCGCCTTCAGGACAATGATCTGTTCCTGAAGCCTGAGAAGTGTGAATGGGATGTTCCCAAAGTCGACTACGTCGGCTATGTGTCGCGACTTGAGGTCAAGCGACAGGGGAATACCTAAAAGCAAGGGGCGTCCGACTGGTTCTCACCGAAGCGATGGTGAGCGAGGCTCAAACCTAAGGCTAGGGACAAGAAATGTATTAGTTAGTGAAGGTAAGTAAAGGATACAACTGGGGCTTACTGACCTAGGGACAAGAGGTCGAAACTGAGGTCCCTAGGGCAGCAGAGGCCGGCTTATATACAGGGGAAGATAAGGGCAGGCTGTGCGCGCTGGTCCGTGCGCAGCTGGTCCGTGCGCAGCATGCTGATGCGGCCCCGGGGGCCGGTGAGTCAGAGCGGCTGTGTCAGCGGAGCCCGAGCTGTGCCGTGCACTGCCGTCCTATCTAATCTAATCGTACAGTAGATAACGACGTGTCCATATCAGGCAGGTAGTACAGAGGTCACGGGTTCGAGCCCGCGAAAAGGAAAAAATTAAAAAACGGCTAGGCGCCGTACCAACTCGTGACACTATGTGTTTGGTGGCGATGAGGTGGCGATGGATCCCGCGAAACTAAAAGGAATCAATAAGTGGCCAGTACCCCAAAACAAGAAAGATGTTCAGAAGTTCCGGGGGTTCTCCAACTTCTACCGCCGCTTCATTAAGGACTTCGCTAAGATCTCGTGACCACTTGACCGGCTCACAGGGAACGACCCATGGCATTGGGGCGAAGAGGAGCAGTATGCCTTCGACGAGCTCAAACGGCTCTTCGCGACGACTCCAGTCTTGGCGCTGTACGACCCTAACCGGGAAACGCGCATTGAAGTCGACGCCTCGGGCTACGCCACTGGCGGTGTATTGATGCAGAAGCAGGACGACGGCAAATGGCACCCCATCGCCTACCAATCTCACGCTATGGACCCAGCCCAGCGTAACTATGAGATCTACGACAAGGAGATGCTCGCGATCATTGAGGCACTAGACGATTGGCGCCACTATCTCGAAGGGTTACCCAATCAGTTCGAGATCATAACCGATCATAAGAACCTCGAGTACTGGCACACGTCTCAGCATCTCACACGTCGCCAAGCACGCTGGTCACTGTTCCTAGCTCGCTTTGACTTCCGCATCATGCACAAAGCCGGGACATCGAATGGAAAGGCTGATGCCCTGTCACGACGATCGGATCATCAGGTCAGCGATGAGGATGATAACACCGATCAGGTGGTTCTCAAACCAGAACGTTTCCGCATCACCTCTGCCAGATGTGGCCATGCTTCGGTGATAGCTGATCAGTCGCTTCTGAAGCGCATCAGAGAGTGCTCGGAAAAGGATCGGGAGGTGGCCAAGGCACTTGAAAAGGTGCAGGACCTTGGGCCGCCCCGGCTACAAAGGGCTTTTGAGGAGTGGAATGCCGAGCAGGGGCTTCTGTTGTTCCGTGGGTGCGTGTACGTCCCAAAGAACGCAGAGCTCCGGCGGGATATAGTCAAGATCCACCACGACTCGCCGATTGCCGGTCATGGCGGTCGTGCCAAAACCCTTGAGCTCTTATCGCGGAACTATTGGTGGCCTGGGATGTCTAAATTTGTCAATGAGTATGTCAGCACCTGTGACGTGTGCAACCGTACCAAGACATTCCCCACCAAACCCCAGGGCCCGCTGAAGCCAAATGAGATCCCTGAGCGCCCGTGGCAGATCATCACGACCGATATGATCGTTGGCTTGCCGAAGTCTGATGGGTTCGACTCGATCCTGGTCACCGCCGACCGCTTCACAAAGCAGGTCCACTTCTCGGCCTGTCATGAGACCCTGACGGCAGAAGGTGCGGCCGACCTGTACATCCGCGATGTGTTCAAGCATCATGGGGCCCCGGCCAAGGTCATATCAGACCGAGGTCCCCAGTTTGCTTCGAAATATCTCCATGCCGTGTACAAGGGACTAGGGATCGAGCCGGCGCTGTCTACAGCATTCCACCCTCAGACAGACGGCCAGACTGAGCGCTGGAATCAGGAAATCGAGCAGTACCTGCGTGCTTTCACAAGCCACAGGCAGGATGATTGGGCGAAGCAGTTGCCGCTCGCGGAATTCGCATTGAACAACCGAGTTCACTCCGTGACCGGGCACTCCCCATTCTTCCTGCATCAAGGGTACAATCCTGAGATCCAGGTTCGGATCAATCCGATGTCCGCGATGCCTGCGGCCGCTGATCGGCTTAAGATCCTGAAGGAGATTCGCGACGATATGCGCTCCGCACTCGAGCTGTCAGCCGAGCGTATGAAGGTGTACTACGATAAGCACGTGCAGGAGGCACCGGTCTTTGCGCCGGGGGACAAGGTCTGGCTTGACGCTCGGAACCTTAAGCTGAAACAGCCGAGCAAGAAGCTCAGTCCCAGGCGCCTCGGACCATATGCCGTGCGGCGAAAGCTCGGAGACCTGGATTACGAATTAGTCCTGCCGAAGTCGGTGCCGGTGCACCCGGTGTTCCATGTCTCCTTGCTTAGCAAGTACACGCGTAGCGACATCCCGGGCCGGGAACCGGAGGAGCCGCCTGCGATCGAGGTCGAGGGTGACGAGGAGTACGAGGTTGAGAGGATCAAAGATTCAAGGATCTTCCGGCGTCAGCTGCAGTACCTCGTCAAGTGGAAGGGTTATGATGACTCGCATACGTCATGGGAACCGGCGCGCAACATTGCCAATGCGCCGGCCCTCATAGCCGACTTCCACCGGAAGAATCCGAATGCCCCTCGTCGTCTCAATGCTGCTGTATTTGGTGGTCTCAACTTTCGGCCAATGCCTTCCCCGCTGACTGAAGCACGCTGCCGCTCTGGGTGGGAGATGGGCAAGGGCACCTCGCATGAGGTCATGCGCCGTTGAAGGGGGGGTAATGTCACGACTTGGTATGGCATCTAGCCGTTTTTTAATTTTTCCTTTTCGCGGGCTCGAACCCGCGACCTCTGTACTACCTGCCTGATACGGACACGACGTTATCTACTGTACGATCAGATGAGATAGGACGGCAGTGCACGGCACAGCCCGGGCTCCGCTGACGCAGCCACTCTGACTCACCGGCCCCCGGGGCCGCGTCGGCATGCTGCGCACGGACCAGCTGCGCACGGACCAACGCGCATAGCCTGCCCTTATCTTCCCCTGTATATAAGCCGGCCTCTGCTGCCCTAGGGACCTCAGTTTCGACCTCTTGTCCCTAGGTCAGTAAGCCCATCATGTATTCTCTTTCTTACTTAACTAACTAATACATTTCTTGTCCCTAGCCTTAGGTTTGAGCCTTGCTCACCATCGCTTCGGTAAGATCCAGTCGAACGCCCCCAGCATCCTTCAAAGTCTGTGTTTCCCCTGTCGCTCGACCCTAAGTCGCGACAGGGGCCCATACACGAAGGACGTCCAGTGGTAGAGAGTTGCCGTGTTTGAGGCTTCCCATCACTGTAGTTCTGCAAATTCTATCACGCCTGAGTCACAGCGGCAAATTTGAACACCGCTTGGCAGATGTTGCAGGACTGCAGAGTGCGCTGCCGCATCGTGCCATGATCGAGCGTGGAGTGTGAACATATCACGCTGACAGTGGTGAGTGTCACGCTTGCTCAGTCAAAAGAACCATCGCCCACCACTCATGTCTTGCTGGGTGAATCGGGCTTGTGTACCAGAACACACAAAGCTGTAATATAACGGATCGGATGTCTGATCGTTACAGCGGGCAAAAAAACGATAGGCGCGACCACCTCCAACAACTGTTCTCTCCGGCCGATGATCCAAGATGCCGCAGCCACAGCAGCCGCAGGTCTACAGGCCGGCAGCTACAGCAGGTTCGACGATGTTCGGGAAACACGGGCGATGAACCTTTGGCTTGCATAACGGCTCAAGGTGAGGCGTGAGAATCTCGCTTGTTTTGGAGTGACCGTGACCGCGCATTAGCACGACATCCTTATTTTGTATTGATGGAACATGGCGGCTACAGCTCGTTAGAGTTGCAGGGGCATCATAAGGTCTACAGAACATATGTATGAATGAGTGAAATTGAAGATGAACAATATGTCAGATGGGACAATCTGCGTAAGTCGGCGGCTACATTGTGTGGCTGCTGTGGCTGCGGCATCTCGGATCATCGGCCGGAGAGAACAGTTAGTTTGGGTGGTCGCGCCTATCGTTTTTTCGCTCGCTGTAAGAAACGCAATGAGTAGCTCTGGATCTCGCCCATCACATGTTTGCAGAACACCTTAAGAACAGTCTGCAGGCTGTCATTTCACTTCACCTTCATTTCCTCTCAATCGCTCTTGCACATAGCATATACTAAGTGCCTACTAGCATCTACAATAATCAAAATTAGAATTTCCATGGTGCGCAGTGGAGATCACGCAGTTCTGCAAAATTGATGGGTTTTGCAAAACCCCGTATCTGATAGTATGTAGCTCTGGACAATGCAAGGCACAGCCACTAGAAGTACACCACATCTCTTCCAATTGGGTAACGATGACCCTCGCGAGTACAGGAGATCAGATCTGGAGTATATACACAGTAACAGCGGAAGAATGGCTACATGATGGCGTGGCATGATCATCGTCACTACTACGATAGCAAGACAGCAGGGAGGAAGAGCAGATGATCTGTCCGTGAGCACGGGCTATAAAGAACTCCTGAGGACGCAGCAGGTGTGAGCATACGACCAGTACAGGGCGAGCAGTACAGTGGGATGCATTACATGTGAATGATAAGGTTACAGAATGGTGACTGAACCGGATACGAGGGGACAGAGGGAGGGCAGAATATGACCTAAGCGATGAGACTCGCACGCGAAGAGGAATAGACAATGCACAGAACCAATGGAATATCGAGGGACTGCATCCTATGTCACCTCAAGCACCGATGTCTCCAGTACTCGGAACTGGCTCGTATCCTTGGATAGCTCGGACCAGCCGATAATCTCGCGCCAGTTGACCTGATTAGCCTCTTTTTCGCCTGCGCCAGCGAAGAGACCTAGATCGTCGTCGGAGACTCCGCGGAACATCAGGAAGAGACGAGTGAATAAGCAGTTCTCTGCCGTGACGGAGATGTCAATGGCTGCAGCGATCTTGCTTGGTGACATAAAGCGATAGGCGATGTTGCGATGTGCTGCAAACGCAGACATGTTGTGACTGGTTAAACGTGCGAGATAAGCTTTAAGTTGCAATAACGAGAGTTGCACATACTTGACGAAGTTAGTCCGGGCTTGGAGTGACATTCCAAGCGAGTCAAGGACGCGCATGAGATGAGGAATGAAGTCTCTGAAGGACATAGCAAAGCCGTTTCGCGGTGCAATGAACTCGTTCGGATCTACCATCCCAGGTTCAGGTCTATAACATCAGGAATCAGTCACAGTTGTGCCATACACGACTTGTAGAAGGTCTCACATCGCCTCGTAATAGATCGCTGTTGCGGTCACCTCACTCTCGAAGTGCTCTATAGCACCTCCCGGGTGCACGCGCATGAAGTATTTGACCTTGTTCTCGGCGACCGGCTCGGAAGGTGGCCAAGTGATTCCCAGTTTCCAGAGTGGGGAGAAGGACAAGACCAAGTCGCAATACTGCTGGGTCGGAGCATAGATATGGAGATGGCACTTTGCCGTAGCAGGCTTTGCTGCAACTGCAAGCTTGGTGAGAACTCGGGAGTCGACTACCAAGTCCTGGGTGACCTCTGGGCTGTTGACGAGACGCGTTCCGGTAAACTCCATCTTGTGAACGTCTCCGTCGTGCACGATGTCGAGCTTGCCCCAGAAGGAGCCGTCGACTGTCGTCCCGTCGTCCATGCGTGCCATGTCGAGTTCGTCTGACGACACCATTGTGTCCAAGGCGACTTGTTGCCCAGGACTCAGTTCCAAAGCAAATGTCGCTGGCATTTCAAGCACGGGCGGGGGACTTATGAGATTGTCAGCACAAGAGGGACGTCATTGCCTGATTTCATGACTCACGGAGGCGGGCTACGGATAGATATGCGTTTGAGTGAAGGTGCATTGGTAGCGACTATTGATGAGAGACTCACGGAGGTTCATCCTCAGGTGGCGGAGGTCCATCACTGACGATCTCTACCCTTAGGCCTTGCACACCCATGATAGCAATCTGATATGAGTCCTCGGACGTCAACTGTACATAACCCATTTAATTACGAGAGTGGCGCGACAAGCTTGAGTCTCACATATATGTATGGCCCTGCTACTAGTCGCTAGTGCTGACTTCAGCAGTGGAACCAAGGAAGGGATCGATGAAAGCTCACGGCTGCATGGAGAGAGGCATACTCAACCGGTACGCGCAGACTGAACATGACATCTGGTGGGGGTTTGATCCAATCTCTTGCGACGGCGTCGAGCTCCTGCAAATGATTGTCAGACACCACGGCCTTGAGGGTTTAGATGATGAACGTACAACAAATGTATTCGGCAGCTAGAACGCAATGTAAGTACAAGAAAACTCGGGTTCGTAGCTAATATAAGCGCCTGTACTGACCATTCGGATTGTTTCCATATCCCCAAACGCGAGGGTCAGCAGACGCTGCCTTGCGAGAGCCATTGGGTTCTGCCTGTTAGGAGCAAGCTCGACATCCTTGTTGCTTTTGGGAGTCTTGAACCTGCCCCAGAAGCCCTGAGAGGATGGCAGACTCGCGTTTGAAGCCCTGGAAACGCGTGAGGGCGTTCAGGTGAGGATCCGGGAGAGGGGGAGGCACGTACGCTGGCGATAGAAGCATGATCGCGGCCTGCGGAAGCGGAATGGATGAGAGTGAAGGGGAGAACGTGAGCGGAAGATTAGGAGATATATGGAGAGGATGAAAGTCAGTGAAGAGTCATTCAGTTTGAAAAAGGACTTGTGGTTAGATCCACGAGGCGGGGGAACACGAGGCAGATACAAACAGCAGCAGCTGAAGGACTCGCAGGTACTGGGGTGATAATCCTCGATATCAGATGGCTGATTGCGCGGGGGCTGTACGGCGAGGGCGACCCCTGTGCCCTGCTCGCCGTTGACGTCGACGACGAGCACAATGCAGCGCAAATGCAGCACAAGCAGCGCGTCTGGGAATTTGTGCGATGGATCTCATCTGCCCCGCACAGGCGCTGGCCCCGCGTAGCTCACGTGCGCGCCGTGGATTTCCGGCGGGTTTGCAGCACTGACGTCGCGTTCCTCTTCCTTTCTCTCCCAAAATGTTGCGCACCGCCCTTCGTGCCCAGCTGCGACCGGCAACCACACTCCGCTCGCGCGGATTTGTCTCGACCGTGCTGCTGACCAAGGCATGGGAAAACGAGCCACTGAACGACCTCAAGGAGGAGCTGAAGCGACGAGGCCTGTCCCAGTATGTCCAACGTGACTTGCCCCGGGAACGCATTCTGAAATAGTGCACAGTAGAGGTAACAAGGCCACGCTCGTCACCCGCTTGCGGACAGACGACAAGGCCAAGTCGCTCGCCCCAGCCCCTTCCTCGGTTTCGCCGCAGGCCGCCCAGCAAGTGCGTCATGCCTCGACCACCGAGGTTCCTGGCGTGCCGTCCGCAGAAGCTCCGCCCCCGCTACCGAAGACGTACCCCAAACAGTTCTTAGACGTGAAAATGCCTGATTTTTCACAGCCAGACTCTGAGTCGCCAATTCAGATTGTACGTGTTCTTGTACTTCTAGCGTGACCACTCATGGACAGCAATCACTGACCTTCCTTGGGCTATTCTAGCCTTTTCTTCCAGACCTTTGGGACTCTTCCCGAATTCAGGCCGAGTCCGCACCCAAGTCACCCAGCGTGGAAGAAGAGCTGCCAAAGATGGTCGCGGTCGCTGGCTCAGTCACTCATCATGGCGGTGGACCCACATACAACCTGTCCAACACGGAAGCAGATGACCTATTCTCGTCTTCAGCGTCCCACACAGGTCCCTCGGGCTTCTGGAGAGATGTCGCGGAGGATCTGAATTTGCCCACGTCATTGAATTTACCCAACGCCGCGAACGGGGCCAAAGCTCTCTTTGATATCGCGGAGAAGACGGAGACCTCCAGCGTGCGGGAAACGTCGCACTCACGGACGTTGGACAGTGACGAAAAGAAGGGCGTGTGGGTCCTCCTCAGTCTCCTGGGAGGATCATGGCTCGCCGCTGGTTTCCTACAGCCCACACCCGCTTTCGCAGAGAATGCAGCGGAGACGGCCGAGGCAAAAGTAGACACACACTGATTAGATTGCTATCTGCCTTGTCCGACAGACGAGTCTACGCTAGTCTTCCCTCTACATTCCTGTATCCTATCGTAGTGGCTGCGACTGCTATGGGACTTCGCCTAGATAGTGTAGCATATTCTACTTTCTTGCAAATCACATGATTACCTCTGCTTTGTCCTGCACGCCCATGGCCGGACAAGTTGTTCGTCGTCAAATTCGTTGGTTCCATGCCTCCGCCCGACGTGCACACCTTGTAGGGCCACCTGATCCTATCTCCAACCTCCGCCCTGTCGTCTACGACAACGATGTCCCACAAGTGCGCATGGATGTCACGCACCCTTACTCCTTAAGAGAGTTCCGGGGAGACACGCGAGAGTATCAGTGGAAGATGCAGCGGCAACAGTTGGATGCGTTCAACCACGCATTCTGGACAAACGTAGGCTGATGCATTTTTATACAAGAATACGGCAGAGCTAAGTTGTTACGAATGCGCAGAGCAATTCCCGCTTCGAGGCAGCTAAACGCGCTGTGCTCGAGAGTCTGCCCGCCTCGTGTTCAGTAGAGGACCGCGAGTTCGCACTCTCCGGCTTCTACAGACGGTGGGCTATTCAAGAGACGTCTCGCCAGCAGAGCTACAGTGCAGAGTGGCGGAAACGGAACCGGGCGAGCATCTTCCTCGGCGGGCGGCTCGCATATGAGCGGTTCATGACACGCATCTCGCGGCCATTCTCGTCGAATCATGAGAGCAAAAATGAATGATCTGCTATATGTAGAGTCCGTGCGCTATTTTACACTCATTCACCGCGCCTGAGATCGTCCTGTACTAGCTGCCGGATGCACATGAACGTCTCGTCCATCCTTAATTCTGCCAGCTCTTGGCTCTCCTCCTCCAAGTCCCGTCTTATGTCCTCAGCCTCGTCCGGCGAGATGCCTGTATACCGCAAGGCGATATCGGCGTGCTGCGGAATCTCCAAGGCTTCGGACGGCGCCATAATGTAGCCTTCGAATCCGGCATTCGGTCGTATCGTCGCCCGCAGCGCGACGTACAGCGCCGAACCCCTGAACCTCGCGTTTACTTCCTCGTCTGTTACGTTGACTGTCTGGCGCAATACGTCCCAGCTGGTACATGCAAACATGAATTATAAGTTGAGCTTTAGATCCAAAGAGTACGTACTCGTCGTGGATATAGATGCGTCTCCAGATGCTTCTGTAGGCAGCCTTGACTCGAGCGTTCGGAATATTCTTTGAATCATGGGATCAACCAAGGCGCTGCGTCGCGCATATGCATCACTTACTTGGGCTCTATTAAGAATATCAAGGGCGGTGGCGTAACTCTCCGGACTGTTGGTGTTATCCTTCAGACTAAGAATTTCAGCAATGTCTTCCGGCGCCAATGCTTTCCCTTGAAGTAACCGGCGCACAAGCAACTTGAAGACCTAGGAGCGATGTCAAGACAAAACTGGCAAAGAGGTTGCAATGATTGCTGACATGTTGGAGTGCTCTGCGCTTGCTCAGCCGCGAGGCTTTGGTCTCTGCAATCGTTTCGACCTGCTTCTCCAGCGATTGTTTTCCTCGAAGAGGGGCCAGGGCAGATTTGAGGTCGTCTATGAGTGTCTCGTGAATGCTGACGAAGTCCAACCCATCGTGGAACGCTAATCATATTCTCAGTCGGCCTACCGATCTCACAGACCAGAGCTGACATACCATCGAGCACACTCTGATCAATTGGGATATTGTTCTCATGTAGCTGAGCGATTTGAGCGAGCTTCCCGATGCTGAGGACGAGCTATAAACATGCATCTCAGAGTATGCACTCTTCAGGAGATGAAGCTCACATACGTGCTTCGAGACGAGCTCTGTGGCGCGCCCCGCTTCTGTGAGCAGAGCCTCCGACACAAGGCTGTAGCGGCGCTTCCCCAGATCGTGAAGCCACGAGACGGACATATTTGGATGCTCAGAGAAATAATCATCCAGATACTCGTCGTCCTGCTGAGCAAACATTGTCCGCAGTTCCCCTATGAGTGTGCGGATGAGGGTCGGATGAGCTTCTATGACGTGAGGTTGACTAACCATGTTCGATGTACCACTGATACAACTCCGTCGTGAACTCCTCCTTGAACTTGTCTATGTAGGACTGGATCCGCTCAGCGTTCGGATTATCTTGTGGTGGATAGATAGTGTCCTTATGGCAAAGAGATGCAAGGCTGCGGAAGTCGCGGTATTTCTCCGCCAGCTGGAAAGCCTCGTCGGCGAATTTGTTCCTGCCTGCGGGCGCAAGTGAGTATGGGTGACAGGCTTGTTGATGATGTCAATGGCTCACGTAGGGCCTCCAGAATCTCAGGACGTGACTGTTCAAACGTGTTTTCGAGATCAATGCGCTCTCGCTCGGACGCAGAGTCTGCAGCAGCGGCAGGGCTACATTCATGATCAGCTATATGCTGTTGGCAAGCATAACAGCCACCTACCTATCTAACCAGTCCAACCGTTCCTGTATGCAAGCGAACATCCATGTCGCCAGTTCCGGCAGCTGACCCTTGGGGACGGCTCTTGCCTTCACTATCTCTGGATCAGCCACAGGGGTCTCCACCAGCTTTGTAGTCAGGCTAAAGAGTTCTGAGAGGACTTCGACGACCGACGGCTGACTTGACCATGGATCGAGCAGAGGTAACGTGATGCCATATACCGCCATGTTGTATTCTCGATAGCTAATTGCTGACTTGAGGATGGTCTATCGCCACCGGAGTGAGTAGACTAAACCCGTAGGATCTTCAAAGTAATGCTCACAACCACGATCCAATTGGCTTGTGATATGTCGTCGGGCAAAGAGAGGCTATGCTCGTAGGAGGATTGCCTGACAATGCCAAGCACGTAAGGCAGAAGACCCCCAAGATCTTCGACTTTCATTCTGAAGAATGCGCGAACGAAGTCGTCATGATTACCTTCCCCGACTGCGTCCATGTAGGCTAACACTGCGTCATATAATAGTACACTGTTGGATTGGCTCGCGCTGAAACGTGGTTAGAGGCCGACATGATTACCCAAAGTGTCCCCTCCGCTTACCCAAGAAAGTTGTTGTGCTGCATCCAGAGCTGATGTGCGGCGTACAATTTCTCTCCATCTGTCGCCAATCGTTGACGAGTTCGTTGAGACATCTAATACAAAATTGAGTGTTCTGCAAAGCCGTCCTTGATATCTCTGAGTGAATATACCTTCCCAAGAACACCGTTATCGTTGATGAATTTGATGAGGAAGCTCAGTCGGTCCTTCCGATTTGACATCTGTGTATGAAGATCATGGTTTGGTTTGATCAGCTCCCAGTCTGCAGTAGGGGATAACACTTTGTTAGTAAGCTAGAAGAGATAAAATCGAGGAGATCGTTACCGGATTGCATAACAGCTTGGCTGAGCTGCTCTGCCCCTGACATTAGGGCTTCTTCGTCGATGTCGGGCGGAAAGCTGAAATGTAAGGGGTTCTTTGAAATGGCCAGTGAGCAACTGGAAATAAGGAAAACAAGTGCCCGCCACACACCTCAGGAGAGGAGCCATATAGGATCGCTTGAGTCATGATTGACTTGATGAGATTGGCGCGACCACTCCTAGAGCAGAAGAATCAACAGGGGCTTAACTCACAAAGATGGGACTCTATACTGGGGATTATATCTCTTGACTTGATCCATATCAATGAGTGCTTTCATCAAGACTGTGGCGGTCAGTAGAAGCACCTCGCTATCACCAGGTACAACTCCGACTCCGAGCGTGCGGTCCTCTGTAGATTTAAGCTCGAAGCGGTCCATGTAGTCATTATCTGCATGACAAGGTCAGTTGCTTGTTTCGTCTATCACAGTACACTTCAGGTACCTCGAGCGCAGAGGGTCACGGCATCTCCAAATTGAACAGCTACTAGCTCGCCGTCCAGGATCATGTTCATTCGAGGATGCATCGGGGCACCCGTCAGTAATGTCTGGAGTATAACTCTCGGTTAAAATGGTCCTGTGTTTGGGAAAGTTCAGACCTACACTCTGATATGGTACACTCTGTACGCTTGTCACTACTGGAGCGGGCTGCCCGCAGGAAAGGCGGACAAGGGCATGAATTCTTCGAGGAGGGACATTGGGGTCCATAGCTGATTCCTCTTCTTGAGCTGCGTAGGAGATCAGGAGAAGTAATTTGCCATGGTCACGGGTATTACTTCAGGTAAAAACGCTCGGTTACCGTTACTCTATCTAAGAGCATAGTCATGCTTACCTCTCGATCTTCAAGTCCAACAATTCTAGGTCGAGGTCTGCGTCATCGGAGGGCGCAGAGGGGAATGCTTTCCGTATGGCATCTTGTACCTGCTCAGCCACCTCCTGCTCAAAGCGTAACTGTTCCCAGCCCTCGACAGACATGCTCCACTTTTGTAGCCGTGTATCTGAGATGATCCACAAGAACCTCTCCATCACATCCTCTGTCTCATTCGCAAGCGCAACAGCAGTGATGTTGCCTGTCTCTGGTAGGAGACTGGTAGGAGACGACAAGAACGACAGAAGTCGTGTAAGAGAGCCCGATGACTGATTTTGGCCAAAGGTGCGAAATACGAGATGGTGGCGGCCCCCACTCACAGTCAGCGACAGACGGAATAAACGACCTGCTGAAGTTGAGGCTATGTACGTGTGTGGCTGTGTAGCGTTGCAGTTATGATTAGCAGAGCTGGAGAGCATCTTAAGGATGATTTTGACATACGTCTGCCCTGGTCAATGTTGTCACCTGTTCTTCGCTCTCGAGATTGAGTTCAGTGACAGAGAAGTTGTCTCCACCAGCAAGGCCTATTCCGAGACTGTCCCAATAACGGATCACACCACCAGTAGATATCACAATGAGTCCTGGCTCCCTTGTCTGTCCATGTGGAACGAGAGCATGGAATGGCGTCGACAAGTTGTCGCCCCAGTTACTCCGTGGGCATTGAAAAATATAACACGTTGGGATCCCAGTCAGGGCCTGACAGAGAGAATAAAGAGGACGACCCAAACCGCGCCAAGCTGAACAGCCTACCTGAGAGTACTGCCATACAAAGCACGTCTCGCGAGACGCGACGACTGCATAGTCAGTCAGCGTGTCGACCTCTCCCGTGAATCCTTGGCTATAGAAGTCTAGAGAAAACCAGTCGTGAAGTTATACGACCTTGAACGTGTTCCGTTAAATGGCGCACCTGCATTCTTCAAGATTTGCTTCACCTCAACTGGGAGGTGAGAATAGAAAGCCGCAGTGAGCTCAGAAGATTTAGCAAAGAGGTTCTCGTCCTTCGTGTGCTCGTGCATCATGTCTTCATCAACGTCCATCCCAGAAACCTGGGACCTGTCATCTTTCACGGAGGGTAGCCTTTCCTGATGCCGAGATGCGACCGGTGTGGCGAGTCGAGAAGCAGGCCTTGAGCGCCTTCGTGCTGGTGGAGACTGTGCATGGGGTGAATAACGCAGGCCATGTGTACGCGTCGACGGCGCAGGGGAGAAGGACGCCATGGGCAACGCGGAGGAAAGAATTGGCGGAGGTGAGGCTGAAGAGCGCGTCGAGGACGCGAACGCGTCTCGTGCGCGTCTTGTCTGGCAAACACGGTCAAACATTGCCTCAGTGCGTACCATCATGCTTGGGATTGAGAACTACGGCAGCGACAACGACAGCGATGTCGAGACACTGCCTGCGCCGTCTGCGTCCTCGGAAAAGCCCTTGCTGGCATCTGACCTATCTGCACCGGCCAACAAGTCGACGATCGCCCTTCCACCACCTTCGAATACGTCCTCGTCTTCTGCTAAATCGTCAGCTGGTCTGTCCTTACCACCCCTGAAGAGCAAACGACCGAAGAAGATAACCATTGGGCTTCCGGAGCTCCCACCTATTGACGGCGACACGACTCTCGATAGCGATGAACGACCCACCAAGAAACCACGCATCGAACCTGGGGCTCGCTCGTCTGTGCTTCTGTCTATGCTGCCGGCGCCCAAGAACAAGGCTGTGGTTCCAGCTACCCAGGAAAGAGTCCTTGGTTCTGGACGTGGGCCCGGACTAGTGTTCAACACCGGGTTCAGTCGTAATACACGGGCTGTGACGGTGGAAGATGCTGAAGACTCGGTTGATAACCCAGACGACACGGGGGTTACTCAGTCCACAGACGGCATCAAGTCCGATACAAGGGCCTCTCTCCCATTTCTACCTCCATCTCTGGTGAAGGGTAGATCCAATATATCTCTTGAAGAGAAGGCAGAGCGTCCGAAAGCCGCACCTACAATCACTCCAGCACCTGCCGTCGACTTCTTCTCGCTGAGTATGTACCTCACTCTTTCTATCCTGCACTTTGTGTTTGACAACCCGACAGGCTCTTCTACCTCGACGATATCGTCTACTACACCAGCAAAACCCTCTGCCGCTGTACTGACAGCTCCATCTGTTGCATCGTCGTCAGCGCCATCTCTTCCTCTATTCCCTGGCGTTTCATCCGCGCCGAAGGTTGATGACTTCGTCCCACCTGAGCCTACACCTCAAGACCTATACCCCGGGTATTATCTCCTTCCGTCTGGTCAATGGGCCGCATATGAACCGGAGTACTACCGGTCCTTCTACAACAAGTGGAAGAAAGAATACGACGATCACGTTCGTGCGTTGGAGAAGGGCATCAAAGGCTTTGAAGCGGTAGAGACGGAAGGCGCACGAGAGTTTAACGCTCTGCAAGAGATGGAGAAGGCGAAGAGAGAGATTCAGGAGCACGAAGAGCGGAAGGCACTCACGACGGGTGACACAGAGGCGGCTGCGCCTAAGATGAACATCAAGGTGCGGCATCCGTGACTCACCAACTGATTGCGTTGTTCGTTAATGTATCGTTCCACGTTTAGGGGGCTGCCTTGGGTGGACGAGCGAAGACAAGACACCAACTTTCGACCCTTCTCACCGAAGCATACCAAAATCGTGAGGCACTCGAAGAGAGGATTGCCCAAGGAAGGCGGAACAGGAAGGAGGCCGGGAACAAATATGGTGAGTGCACCTGCTAGCTTGACCCAACCGAGTGCACCACTCATTTCGAGCAGGATTTTAGCAATGCTAGACCAGCATCCACATACATTGTACTCCGGATACCGTACGCTAATCATATTAAAACCACTGTAATAGTACAGACATGGACTAAATGTACACATAGAAAACATGATCTACTTCTGCGATGACGAGAATTCTACGCCCAGAGTAAGATAGTGAGACGTTGTCATTGTGAAAGTTGACTCACTCGTGACAGACTTCGTGCCCTCTGAGATGGCGTGCTTTGCTAGCTCACCGGGCAGGATGAGGCGGACGGACGTTTGAATTTCTCGAGATGAGATCGTAGACTTCTTTGAGTACGACGCAAGCTCTGTCCCGAGTGTCAGAATCATCAATCCATGAGTATCTATATAAGACTCACTGGACGCCTCCGTTGCGATACGCTCGAAGATATCGTTCACGAACGAGTTGAGGATGGCCATCGCCTTGTTTGAGATACCAGTGTCAGGGTGCACCTGCTTGAGCACTACATCGGCCATATATCAATGACCTCATAAGTTTTCAATGTGATACCAACGTACCCTTGTAGATATAAGAGCTGTAAGTCTCCTTGCGCGCCTTTCGGCGCTTCTTCTTCTCACCCTCAACAGCAGGCTTGGAGGATGTCTTCTTGGCAGCTTTTACACCCTCAGTCTTCGCTGGTGCCTTCGCAGCGGTAGAGGCAGGGGCTTTAGAAGCAGTGGAGGCGGGCTAAAGGCATGTTATTTCTTATCGTATGGAATGTGGCAACCACTATGCCTACCTTAGGTGCCATTGTAGTGTTCTACGACTCTACTTCAGCCGTTGTTGTATAGACAATTCTTATGAGGGTCAGCTCACCTTTGAAAGTAGAAATAAGGCGGGCAGGCAGTAGTGGTGGGAGCAGGAAGAGAGAGTGAAGCGACGACGACATCGCGTCGACTGCTTTTAAACAGAGTACACGGACATCACGTGGTGACGCGTTAAACAAGCCCCCGGCCACAGACGCGTCAGCACGTGATCGCGACGCGACAACTGCCACCCCTAAGGTCCAACAACTTCGCGGTAGTGGCGGATCCAAGCAACCAATGCAGACCCAAGATCGCACTTCTACTTCAACAACCGAGCTTACTCATTGGTATGCTACGACATCGGCAAGTCTCTATGTAGTGATTGTTCCCACCATGCCGACGACCTTCGTCTCAGTATCCTCTGCCCACACGTACATCATTGCGTTGCCCTGCTCTGCTCCATATATCGAAATAGGCTTGTTGACAATCAGCGGATTTATGGCGCGGTAAGTGAAGGATTTGATTGCCACAGATGGCCACTGCATCGCGTACGCTTCAAGTAGCATTAGAGCCGTCAGTGGCCCGTGCACGAGCCTCTCTGGGAATCGGTGGCTGATGAGTGATCAATCACCGCGCAAGCATTTTGCCTACCGGGATATCCCTCGGATGTCTGTGCGTACTCTCTATCGAGGTGGATATAGTGACCGTTGAAAGTCAATGCAGAAAATCGGAAGAGCGTTGTGGCGCTAGGCAGGTACCGCAAGTATAGATCCGCTTTGACAGGCAGATCTGGGACTACACGGCTGGTTGAAATCTGCGTCAGATCCTGGACATCCAGCGTACATACCCGTCTTGGTCGTCCGGCGATTCCCTGGAGCGGCGAGATACACATGCGATCTTTCCTCCTCGATCGCGACGGCCGCGTTACCTTCTGCGCGGTACGTGATATTTTGTTGTACGAATACCATCGGGTTGCCTTTCTCGAAGCCCTTCTTAGCCACAGAACTAATTGTGGACGTCGCGGTGGCATTTTGACCAACCAGAAGGGGCCCCTTCCATTCCATGCGGCCGCCCGCCCACATGCGTCGCGTCCATGGCTCTGGCGGACAGAAGTCCTGGTCTGTCCCATCCGGACGTAGCGCATGCTCGGGGTTCCGTGGATGGAAGAATACTAAATGGTGGCCATAGCCCAGGGGTGTACCTAGACTCGCAGTGCTCGATCAGCCTTCTACAATCTATATGCAGCGGCCCCTGAGAGTGCACCTTCTTTGGGTTGCTCGGGCGATCTGAGGGACCCGTCGCGCGTCGGCAGGGTGACATAGAGATCAGACAAATGCTCGGCGTGAAGCGCGTCGGCGAGCGTGAGTCTCTTCTCAGCGCGGATCCATTCATCGAGGACAGCGACGTGTGCGGGAGATACGAAGGAAATGCATCGGTGGACTGGCGGAGTCAAGACGCTGCGCCGCTGTCCTGCGGCGACAAGGTGTGTACGGGGAATGGTGCGGACATTCGCAAGGAGCATACTATGCCGGACCGATTCGCGTGTAGCTGCAGAAATGTGGTATAACGTTGCAACTGGTCAACGCAGGAACTTGGTCATCGCTACTGCGCCCGATTCGCGCCAACAAGAAGAGCTTACCGTTTAATCACGATCGGGCTGTGCAAGCCTCTGAAGGTTGACAAGTTCTCGTCAGCAGCCGCCCTACAAGACAATCAGGTGCGCGATGACATCAGCCTCAGTTTGCTGCGTGATATAATTCCGTCTCGACTCAAAACTGGCCACCTGGTACATGATGTGCGCGTCTCTGACATTCCTGTGCCACCTGGGAATGTACTCACGACAGGAGGCTATCGTGTGGCCACACAAGGTAGGCAGCGACGTTTCCAGTGGACTGGGTCTCTCAGACTGATATAAGGATTCTCATAAGCTGCTAGGGACACACAGAATGCTGCCGAACAGAGTGGCAGGAGAGTCGAATGGCAAACTGCGCAGATGCATCACCGCGGTTGGCCGGGGCTCTTATCCAACAGTGACAAGTGGGCGGCAGATTATTTGCGTTGGACGCTGTGTGCCCTGAACCTTGTTTGCTTCCGTGATTTCTCCAAGTATATCGAGACCGCTCCACGGAGGATCCATACGTACGTTTGGGGTACTCTGGTCTGCGTAGTGAGTACACCATGTTCGTGACCGCGGGCGCGAGTTGGCGCATGACGAAGCAGCCTCCACGCTGACAATTACCCGGGTGGGCGCTGCTGGTAGCGACCAACAATAGCACGCTGTGTTTCAGTCGGTGAGTCAAGTCTGCTGGATCTGTACGGACAAGAGTAAATCGGGGCAACAACCGTCGCAGCCAGCTGACAGGCGTGGCGGGCGGCGGGGGCGAACTCGTCCCCCGATCAGGCCTGGTATGGCAGGGGAGGTGTGACGGGCTGTGTGACACAGCGCGTGTCAGTGTCACCCTGGGACGCGTAGCCGTGAATTGGATTTTTTTCGCGTCGCGACGCTCCAGCCGTCTCCAGCCCACCGCCTTATTATCTCGCCTCCGCTCCCCCAGCGACCTTATTCTTTTCGCCCCCACCACAATTGTCGCAGCCCCTGCAGTCGTTGTGCTCCGAGTCAACGCGGTCAACGCGCCGCCATCTTCACCCGCGCGGCTAAATTACAGTTGCACTGATTGGGGACATCAGCCCCGAGCGAACGGACTCCGCCATCTCGGCACCTCTTTAGGGACGCACGCTCGATCTGCCCTCGTCCGCATTCCTGACCGCTTCCCCATTGTTCACCCTCCGGCCTCCAGCGTCCCCGCTGGACAATGACCTATCGTTCCCTCTGATTTCTCTCATAAAGCCTCTACCCGGTCTCTCTGTTTGTGTATCATTATTGCCCCAACATCGCGTCCATCCGCTGTAGCAACCACCACCAACGCGTCCCGCAGTCACTCGACGGTCTGTCATGGCTGCCATTGTATCCCCCAGGCCTCGCGCCGCCCGCTCTTCGCGCCGTCCATCTTCCTCTAGACCTGTTCCTCCCTCCCCCTACACTGCTCAGGACGGATCAGCGGTAAGCACCGCCTTGCCGACTGTCCCCTCACAAGCAGCCTCATACCGCCCTCAGCGCGTCAATGTCAGCTCGCACCCGCACAGGCGGACGCGACACAACCCAGCTAGGCTCATGTCGCCTATTGATCTTTTCGATCCACGCGCGAACGCTTCCCACGTACGTGTTCACTAAGCCTCTTCTACTATGTCCCGACTCACGTCCCGCCGGGTCTCCAAGTCATCTAACCCATGTAGCCCTGCCAAGAAACGTAGAGGCCCCACGTTTAATCCCGTTCGTTCACCGCGTCGACGCCACTGCTTGCGAGCAGACTGCCCCATTTCCCCACTAAGTGGTCCCGCCTTCTTCGACAGACTTCCATGGATCCAACAATTGGAAGCCTCACCAGAAGATGTCTCTGTATTCGACACGGCGGACTTGTCGCTCTTGACCGAGGAGCTCTCTCAGCCACAGTCCCCATCCATCGGACCTATCCGCCGGCGCAAGCATTCCCTCCACTCAAGCCCTCTATCAGCGCCATCCATTGAGCGCGAACGCGATTTGTTTATTGCACCGGCTTTTCACGAGTTGCCAGTATACTCACTTTTACCTCCGGACCGAATCCCGTCGAGCCCACGGACTCCTCCGCCTCGGGAACTGTTCCTCCCAGATGAAGTCCAGTTCCACGGTCTTCACCCATCTTTCCCACTTGGGCTTGACGATGCATGGCGGCGCCCCGACATTGACTCGCCTTATTAATTGACTCGTCCGACGCAACTTGACCTCTCGACCTACTATTGACCTCGCCGCATTGCACTCGAAACACGCAACAAACATAGCAATCCACATCAACTGCGCTTTACTTGCTCATTCCTCAAGCTCTTCACATGTCGTTACGCCTCTCCCACCGATCCAACTGCAACTCGATATCAACCTGCTGTCCCATCTCATCTACACTCAGCCATACGCTCGTATATTGCCTCGATGAACCCTTTATCTGCTCGGTATAATCTTTGGTCATTTCCAGATTCCGAAGCCATTCCGCTTAATATATATGTGCTGCGTTGCTTATACTTTTCCAGCACTTGACTTATGCTCTTCGTTTTCTTATTACCTTCTCCGTATGCCTTGTTAGCTTCGTGAGGGGTCTGCGTCGAAGTCGCCAATTGTGACTACCTCGTCAGTATCCCTTACCATTGATTCTGCCCACGTATTCCCCCTCCCATCTCGCGTACGTTTTGCCTGTTCATGCTTTGCTAACGTTTCTGTCGCTCCCCCTGTTGTCGCTACGTCTCCGCACTCATGCTCTATACGTTTGTCCACGCCTTCTGTGATGCTTCTCCCGTTTCCTCGATCTTCACGATGGACGCCAGATTGTCTTCGTTACGTACATTATTCGCGTTAGTTTACGGTGACTGGCAGCGCTGTATGCGTCCTCAAGCTGCCGACCCTGTTGTATATGTACTACTAGTACTTAGACCCCACAATTGATTGGCTGGTTCCTGATCGACCCCACCCGCCGGGCAAGTACTGGCAAGCAGTGCCGGGAACAACATTCTGTCGAGTCGCGGCTTTTGAAGTTTTCTTCTGGTGTTCATGTTCGCGTCATCATGCTCATGAAGCTCGAACTTCAGCTCCGCGTCGATGAGGCCAGATTTTGGCTGGCCCGAGTCATTCTGTAGCCGTTGTCGCCTCGTTGCGCCCTTGTACATCGATTATTACGCCGACTAGGCAAGACGAGGTCTGGGTGGATTCACGGACACCGCCAGCAGCGCTCAACGGCCCCATATATTACGATCCCGGCTTCAGGTACGTCCCAAAACCTTGACTTTTCATCCGTACCCTCTCACCTATCCTACCATCCGAAAGAGACGTCCCAATGGCTACCAACTACAACAGAGTCGTCAACTTCGGCGCAGGTCCCTCTGCACTGCCGGTCTCTGTCCTAGAGGAGGCGTCCAAGGGCCTGCTCAACTTCCAAAACACAGGCATCGGCATCGCCGAGATATCGCACCGCTCGAAGGAGTTCACCGCGTTCGTCGCGAACCTCGAGGTGCTCATCCGCACGCAGCTCGACGTGCCCTCGACGCACCGCATCCTCTTTACGCAGGGCGGCGGCTCCGGACAATTCTCCGCCGTCGTGTTGAACATGCTGGCTCGCTACCGCCTGCTGCACCCCGAGTGCACCGCGGCGGACACGGTCACGGACTATGTCGTCACTGGGTCGTGGAGCAAGAAAGCTGCAGAGGAGGCGCGCCGGCTCGGTGGCGGCACGGTGAACGTCGTCGTGGACGGGCGCACGTTCTCGGAGGGCGGCAAGGCGTTCGACAGCATCCCCGCGCATGACGCGTACAAGTTCTCGGAGGACCCCGCGCTGGTGTACTACTGCGAGAACGAGACGGTCGACGGCGTCGAGTTCTCGCATGAGGACAGCTCGCCCGCGTCGTTTCCCTTCCACCTCCTGCCGAAGGGCGGGCTCGTGCCCCTCGTCGCAGACTACTCGTCCTCGTTCATGTGCAGGCCCATCCCGCACCTCGCTGACCACGCGATTATTTACGCGGGGGCGCAGAAGAACATCGGCCCTGCCGGTCTTACTATCCTTATCGTACGGGAGGACTGCATCGTCGACGTGGACGCGGCGGCGAAGCTCGGTGCGACCCCTGTCCCCATTACCCTGTCGTACAAGACCCTCGCGGACTCGGGCAGCTTGTACAACACGCCATCTGTGCTAGCAATGTACATCTCAGGGCTGGTGCTGGAGCGCATGCAGAAGCATGGCGGCCTGAAGCACTATGAAGAGACGAACAGGCGGAAAGCAGGGAAGGTGTATTCCGTTCTGAAGGAAGGTGAGGCGAAGGGTGTTCTGCGGAGAAAGGTCAAGGAAGGTTCTGGTAGCTGGATGAATGTGGTGTTCGAAATCGTCGGACCCGACGCGGAGAAGAGATTCCTCGAGGGTGCCGAGGAGCGCGGCATGAAGGGGCTCAAGGGACACAGGCAAGTAGCTTGTCAGTCCGTATGTTGAATCCCCTGATAAATATGCTTGTCGTCTACAGATCAGTAGGCGGTAAGTCCGATGAAGGAAGTATCTACTGCAGAAGCTGACCCCTTCGCTTGGACAGGTATCCGGGTGTCACTCTACAATGCGGTCACAGAAGCAGAGGTCGACCAGCTTGTCGAATACATCAAAGACTTCATCCTGCAATGAGACATGGGATTACATGTAAAGTAGAATAGTCCACATCTCTAAACATGTAACATACGCTCGTTATCGTTTATCGAAAGAGTCCACTTCAGATATTGCATACAAACATATGTTCCTCACGGTTTGTTGGTTACAAGTCACTTTGCCGGAGTGGTTAACGGGATCGCCTGCTATTATCGGCTGTCAGCGGTTGGGCTTTGCCCGCGAGTGTTCGAATCGCTCAGGTGACGCTTTTTAACCTTCATTTGTCACGTAGCATAGCAGCAATGGTCATGATGATAATTGATTTATGTTTAGTAACTCTGCTACCCACCTTTCAAATCCAAATTTGCATGCTGCATTTTGAGAATCTCAACTTCATTGATTTACGCGTACCATGTACTTCAATGGGTTGCTTATCAGCTTTGCTGCTGCAGCCTTTACGGGCCTTCAGTTACCTACTGGGATAGGCAGGTGAGGCAAATACTGCTGGGGGCCATATGCAGTCTATTGTTTTGGAATCACTGTAAAGGGTACTGGAGTATATGCCCCATGGCTGAGTTGGTTACAGTGTCTGACTGTTACGATGTTCAAGAGGTAGACAGAATTGGCTGGTAGCAGCCAGTGCCACATCAGTGGTACTTATACCGTGGTCATAGCATCACACGGATTCAGAGAACAATTATGAGACATCATCATAGAGTAAAACTGTCTCTTGCAGCAGACTAGACACAACACAAAAGAAAAGAGTGGTGGTACCAGAGTTCAGGGAGCAGGAGGATATACATCAGGGATGGTATTAGGATGATCTCGGAAACTCCCAACCAGTTCATCCATCACCTGATGTGGAAATCACTAGTCGATTGTTTTGTGCCAGTTACCAACTCCATAAAGCGCTAGCTGCAGTTATCATTAGGTATGCACGAAGAGCAACAGTGCGAATTACTCACACAGAGAGCGCGCCATTATGCATGGGCAGGTCATCCACTAGCCATAGATAGCTCACAAGGAAGCAAAGCCATTCAACAAGGGTGAGTATTGCCCATACTCTTGGGACAGCGAGGTAGTGCATCCTGCCATCACACTCGTCCGCTAGGCGATATACCAGGGTTAATTGGGTAAAGGCTGTGATAGAGCTGATCATTCCTTGTTTCTAGCCTTAGGTTTGAGCGTTGCTCACCATCGCTTTGGTAAGAATCAGTCAGACGCCCCCAGCCTTCAGGTATTCCCCAGTCGCTTGACCTCAAGTCGCGACAGGCATCTCCGTCAAGCAGGCTTAGTGCAACCTGCACCTTGAGCTTGATGGTGGTCAACGACATGTTGACCATCCAATAAATGCGCAACTGCGACAGGAATTGGTTGCACTCGATGACAGTTTTGCCATCATAATGGAGGGGGAGAAGGAGCTTCAGGGTCTCCTTGTCAGGGGCAGTCACGGGAGAAGACATTATTGGCACCGGGGGGGGGGGACGGAGGACGGCATGGGGGCGGTGTCATGAGTTGACATGGCGTCTAGCCACTTTTTAATTTTTCCTTTTCGCGGGCTCGAACCCGCAACCTCTGTACTACTTGCCCGATATGGACGCATCATTATCTACTGTACGATCAGATTAGATAGGACGGCAGTGCGCGGCACAGCTCGGGCTCCGCTGACACAGCCGCTCTAACTCACCGGCCCCCGGGGCCGCATCAGCATGCTGTGCACGGACCAGCTGCACACGGACCAGCGCGCACAGCCTCCCCTAAACATCCCCTGTATATAAGCCGGCCTCTGCTGCCCTAGGGACCTCAGTTTCGACCTCTTGTCCCTAGGTCAGTAAGCATCCCTTTGTATCACTTTCTTACTTATACTAACTAATACATTTTCTTGTCCCTAGCCTTAGGTTTGAGCCTCGCTCACCATCGCTTCGGTGAGAACCAGTCGGACGCCCCTCGCTTCTAGATATTTCCCTGTCGCTTGACCTCAAGTCGCAACATTAGGTCGAAACTCTCCCAAGCGACCGGCGTTCTCTCAGAACCCACATACTCACACTTTCCTTTCCCATAGGTCGGGTGGTGCGCACCCTTACGATACCATACGATACATAGATAGCCTACATTACATTGCCAACACTCAGGGAACGAACCTTTCAGCACCTGCACTTCAGTGGGCGGTGCTTGTCCTTAACCGGACGCGTGGACTAGGTTCCTGCTGCATACTAGCCAAAAGCAGTACTGGGCCCCACATGAATCGCAAACCCTAGTGTCATCTTGGGCGCCGTAGGTGTAAGCTAGTCTACCACAGCCTTTCATAGTACGCGCACCTTCCCGTCCTCCCCCCATCCATCGTGGCTGCCTGCCAAGGTCAGATCCACGCATTCGACTCCCAGGACCTCATCGACGTCTACATCCCAGACGACCCTGAGACTGTCCTCTACTGTTGCGAGCAGCAGCCGTGCCCAAATCGGACACCCCGATCAATCGAGGAAGATTACCCTCGTTACAAGGCGATCCGACGAGCACAACACCCGCTCGGACCCCGAAGCACCCTTGCATCTCGATCGGCCTCGCGGCACTCTTGCCCTGTCTCCCCTACCTCCCGCCTCCCTCAAACTGTTGCCGATCAAGCGCGAGGAGATCTCCCTCCAGACCCTGCGCCAGAGCCTGAGCCTGAGGAGGGTGACAGTGAAGAAGGAGTCTCGGAGTCCGAGTCCGCGGATCCTGCTCGGCCCGCCTCGCCGACAGCGCTCGCCTCTGCGTCAGCAATCCCTGACGTACGTAACCCCTCCGCCGAACTTCCTCCGGTGCCTTCACCGCCGACTCCGCCGAGAGGCCGCTCGAGCACTCGCTCCTCCCGAAGTTCGACCGGCGGAAGGCCACCACAGCCGCCTCCACCCCCGCAGCGTCCTCCGTCCCCCCCGATGCCAATAATGTCGTCCCCCGCAGCCGCCCTCGACAAGGAGACGTTAAAACTCCTCCTCCCACTCCGATACGATGGCAAAACCGTCATTGAGTGCAACCGGTTCCTATCACAGCTGCGCATCTACTGGCTGATCAACACGTCGTTGACCACCATCGAGCTCAAAGTACAGGTTGCACTGAGCCTGCTCGACGGTGATGCCCGCGCCTGGGCCACCCCCTATTTCGCCCAGCTCGTATCGGTGCAGATAGGTGTGCAAGGGGCTATGACCTCATTCGCAAACGAAGCGGCCTTTGCCGCCGCCTTCAAGGCCCACTTCGGAAATCTCGACGACGAGGCGGCAGCACAAGTAGAGCTGGCGAAGCTCTGCGCGGACAAGTCGGTCCGTGAAAAACGCACCGCTGCGGAATTCTCCGCGCTGTTCAAGGGTCCGGCGGACCGCTCTGGGTATGGGGACCTGGAGCTACGCGACAAGTACCTGAGCGGCATCCCCTCCCGCGTATACCGAAAGATCGAGCTCGAGACCTTCACCACGTGGCAAGCAGCTGAGAAGCACGTCACTGAGGTCGAACAGATCCTCGACATTAGCCGGGCCCGTCGGCCCGAGCTAAATAACTTCTTCTCGGCCCGAGGTTGAGGACGCGGTGAGGCGTGTGGTGGTGCACCCCAGTCACACACAGCTTTGGCCAGCATCAATGCAGCCGTCGGAAAAGGCAACTTCCCCGGCACATGCTTCGGCTGTGGGAAGCAAGGGTACCGACGATTCGAGTGCCCCAATTGTAAGGACAAACCTTACACAAAACGCGCCGACGCATGGGCTACGGTTGCCTTGGGCTCCACCCAGGCTGCGACAAGCGCCCCCGTCACGACATCACCCTCGGCAAGTATAAGTGCCGCTTCAGCGAAATCCGAGCAATCGGAGCTAGCGGCCTTAATGGCACAGGTGAAGTCGATGCGCGAGGAGCTCGAGCACTATCGGGCGATGAAGGAGGAGGGTTTTTGATCCGGTCCGCGCTTCGTGCCGCACGCGTCGGGCCGCATATATCCTGTAACAAATATAACGTATTGTCTACTGCGATGGTGTACGAATTGGACCAGGGGTCCCAACATTTTCACATCCCAGTACGACTTCAAGGAAAAAGACGGCATAAAGATATAATCGCCATGGTGGACAGCGGAGCCACCACGATGTTTATCAACAAACGGTTCATAGTAGAGAATAAGGTGCAGACGCGGTGATACGACCAACGAAACCCTAACCCCTAACCTGGGTGCGACCTAAAGGGACTAGAGAGACGGCTTATAGTCTAATGAGAGGGGAGTTAGCAGCAAGGTGTCCCGCGGTTCGAGTGAACACGAGAAACGCCCTTGGGAAAGGTTACGAACAAACGGGTAGGTACGAGGTGGCTTCGACACGTCGTCGAAGCTACTCGGAAGCTGTGGAAAGTTAGCGACGATCGAAGCTTGGCAGAGCTCTTCGATGTATCGTAGAGAGAAGGGGCACGATTCAATGGGGTGTACTTAGCTAGGGCGCGGTTCGCAGTTTCTTCGACAATAGTCGAAGTCGAAGGGTTCGTCGAGACGGTATCGACGAGTAAACGCAGTGGACGAGGTTTCGCAGTTGCGCGGCGAGGGACGAAGTGACGCAGTTGAAAGCTTAGACGCGGGGCGAACTCGACTTATGAGCTCTGAACTCGAGGGGGGGGGACGGATCTTGTATTTTTAGAGAGAAGTACGACCGATTTTATACTACACAGGACGCTACGACTATTCGAGAGTGGCATACGAGTACAAGGGGCTTTGCATTGTTCCTCAAGAACCTGCCTCACCGAGAGGCACGTACCAAGTCCATCGTTAGAGTGACGTCATGCCGAACGCGGAGATGAAGAGCAACATATGGCCACTTCGGACCGGTAGCCGTCGTGAAGGCATGCCGTGAGGTTCGATACCTAATCGGGAAAGACCGGCTACTTCGGTGTGGCTTGGAGCGAAGCGCGCGCTTGGCCGAGCGGCGTCGAGTGGCCCTATTGTTCGCCGAATGCGGAAGACGTTCCGAGATCTACGCACGAGGCATCGGGAAGACCGTGCCGAGCTTCGAGTAAGCATCGCGCACCGTCGAAGGTGTCGAAGAGCGTCAAAGGCGAAATCGAAGTGTTGGGGGACTGAGTCGAAGTGCCGGGCGGGATGCGAGTG